GGGCCCCTCTTAATTTCCACCTTTACTCCTCAAAGACATGCCCCTTCAGAACACCAAGATACTTTTGATCATAGGTTTTGAAGGTGGGAAGACTGGTTGTTTTGCTGTTTTCAGTTTCTGGAAATGCCTAGATATATAGGCCTTTCATGAGACAAGAGGAAGTTCTTATCCAGCCCTCATAAACGGGTGTCTGAGGTTACTGCTTTCCTTCCTGGTCCAAGGGAGATGTTAGAGGTACTTTGAAAAAGTCTGACACCTTTCTAACCACACACTCTTTAGCCCAGGCATTCAAAGCTATGTACGCCCTATTGTGAACCTAACTCATACTGTTTTGTTTTTTTGTTTTTAGTGTTTCTGTTTGTACAACTTTATTGAGATATAATTAACAAACAAGAAAAGATACTTATAGATCAATATCCCTTAAAGATCAAGGAAGTGTGAAAATCCTCAACAAAATACTAGCAAACCAAATACAATGGTATATTAAAAGGATGATACACCATACCCAAGTGGGTTTTATCTGAGGAATACAAGAGTGGTTTAATGTAAGAAAATTAATCAATGTAATACATTATGTTAATAGAATGAAAGGGGAAAAATACACAATCACCTCAATTGATGCAAAAAAGACATTTGACAAAATCCAACACCATGAAAAAAACCTCTCAGAAAATGAGAACTTCCTCCACATGATAAAGGGCATTTCTGAAAAACCCAGGGATAACATCATACTCGAGGGTGAGACTGTAAGCTTTGTCTTATGATCAGGAACAAGACAAGGATACCCTCTTTCACCACTGCTACTCAACACAGTACTAGACAGTACTACTACTCAACATAGTACTTGAAGTTCTAGCCAAAACGATTAGACAACAAAAAAGAGTAATAGGCATCCAAGTCGGGAAGGAGTAAACCTACATCAATTTATAGATGACAGGATACTATAAATAGAAAATCCCAAAGAACCCACAACAAAGCTACTAGAGCTAATAAATTCAGCAAAGTTGCAGGTTACAAGATTAACAAACATAAGTTAGTTGTTTCTTTACACGGCAATGAACAATCCAAAAAGGATATTAAGAAAGTTCCAGTAAAGATAGCATCTAAAAGAATAAAATACCTGCAAATAAATGCAACCATGTAGGTGAAAGATTTATACACTGAAAACTATAAAACATTTCTGAAAGAAATTATTTAGTAATTAATATTTATTCTAAATAAATGGAATATAAACAATCTAAAAGATCTAAGTAAATGGAAAGAATCTTGTGTTCATAGACAAGAATACTTAAGAATTCCTTCCATAAATCATAATTCAAACTTCCAACAACTTTTTTTTTTGCAGAAATGGGACAGTCAATACTCAAGTTCACATGGAATTGCAAGGGTCCCAGGTACACAAAACAATCTTGAAAAAGAAGAAAGTTGAAGGACTCATACTCCTGATTTGAAAACTTACTACAAACCTACAATAACTAAAGCAGTTTGGTACTGGCATTAAGGACATATAGACCAATGGAATGGGACTGAGAGTCCAGAAATTAACCTTCAGCTATATAACTAACTGAGTTTTGACAAGGGTGCCAAGTCCATTCAATGGGGTAAAGATAAGTCACTTTAACAGATGGTGCTGAGATAACTGGATTGTCACAGGCAAAAGAATGGAGATGGTCACCAACTCACACTATATACAAAAATCTATAAACTGGATTAAAAACCTAAATATAAGAGCTACAACCATAAAACTCTCAGAAGAAAATGTAAATCTTCACAACCTTGGGTTTGGCAATGGATCTTAGATATGACATAAAAAGGATGTTTAACAAAATAAAAAAGTTGGATTTCATCAAAATTAAAAATTTTTTTGTGTATTAAAGGACACTGCCAAGAAAGTGAAAAGACAAACTACAGAAGGAGAGAAAATACAGTCAATCTCATGACTTGCAGCAGTTATGTTCTTTTATGTATGCTCTTTGTGCATAAAGTCACTGCAAACACTGAATTAGTGAATATTGAACAAATGCTCCTAGGGTTAAGGTCCTGGAAGCTTCTGATTGTAACATTTTTATCAAATGATCAGTTGTTTCATGATTATAAAATTATTATGATTATAAAACCACAACATGTATGTTTTTCCTTTAAAGACAGCTTATTTAATATATATTGTTGATTCATTAACCTTGAACTCACAGCCAACAGTATTGTAACTCATGCCTGAATTAAGCTTGTCTAACACATATTTTCTCCTCAAGGCACATCACAGACTTCTTGAATTCAGGAACACTAGGTAGCACTTCGGCTCCACACTTAGGGGTCTTTTTAAACAGCAAAATCACCAAATAAGACAAAAATGTTTTAAAAGTGGCATTAAACAGACTACAAAATAGATGCTTCTTAATGGTCTGAGAGTTGACACAAGAGGCAAAGTATCACCTTTTTGCCCTCACCTAGGAATGTGCACATTAGGCAACTCAGTTTTTTTTGCCACTATGTACATGTGTGTGAATGTGTACAAAGTGCCATGAATATCGATTTTAGGGTCACAAATTTTAGTGAGTACTCAAATTTGCATATACAGAATCTGTGAATAATGAGACTTGACTCTATTTGCAAATCATATATCTGGTAACAGTGTAACATCCATAATATAGAAAGAACTAAAACTCAACAAAAAGGCAACCCAATTAAAAACCTGACAAAGAATTTGAATAGACATTTCTCCACACAAGACATACAAATGGTCAATAATCACATAAAAGATGCTCAGCATCATTAATCATTGGATAAAAGCAAATCAAAGCCACAGTAAGATATCACTTCACACTTACTAGGATAGTGATAACAATTTTTAAAACTGAATTAAAAGATGTCAGTGAGGATGCAGAGAAATTGGAACCCTTGTATGTTGCTGGTGGAATGTAAAATGATTACAGACACTGTGGAAAAGATTTTGTTACTGTAGTAAATAGTTTGATGGTTCCTCAAAAAGTTAAACTTTTTTGAGTAGAACTACCATATGACTCAGCAATTCCATTTCTAGGTATCCACTTGGAAGAAATGAAAATAGGGACTCAGGTACTTGTATGCGAATGTTCACTACATTTTGGAAACTATCCAAGTGTGTCAATCCATGAACAGATGAACAAAATGTGTTGTGTGTGTGCATGCTCATGTACGTACACACACACACACACACAGGAATACTACTGTCATAAAAAGGAACAAAGTTCTGACATATGCTACAACATGAATGAGCCTTGAAAATATTATTTTGAACAAAGTAAGCCAGACACAAATGAATAAGCATTGTATGATTCCACTTATTTGAAATATCAAGAATAGGCAAACTGATAGAGATACAATATAAGAGCTACAACCTTAAGTAGATATTTAATCTACTTAAAAGTAGATTAAAGATTACCAAGGGCTGGTTGGTGGGGGATGGAGAGTTATTGCTTAATGGTTACAGAGTTTCTGTTTGGGATGATGAAAAAGTTTTGGAAATAATAGTGATAGTTGCTTAACATTGTGAATATAATTGATGCCATTGAGTTGTACCCTTAAAAATGGATATAATGGCAAATTTATGTATATTTTTCCTTGATTTTTAAAAAACTCAGTTAATAATATGGAAAAAATATCACTAAAAACTACTAGTCACCGCTAAATTTTATTTTGTATTTAAGGACACAACCAGGAGAAGAGGGTACTTTTGCTCTGTCAAGTAAGTATATTTAAAAGCTAGCAAACATCAGAGCAAAATTAAGTGCCAAATCTATAAATGGGGAAATTACATGGTTACTTACAGCTATATAAAATTAACATATTGCAAGGGAATCATAATATAAATATATTAAAGGGCTTCATTTCCAATACTTGACATTTCAAATTTTGAAAACATTAAAATTAAAATTATTGTTGAATAAAACTCAGACCACGTTAGCAATGGTTTAAAAAAAGGGAGCAATTTAATCATTATAATACAGAGTGCTTTAAGAAGTTTTTAAACATGTAAAAGAAAGAACAGTTTAGTGCATCAAATACAGTCTTTACATTGCTTCTTTTTAAAAAAGTTAACAGTAGTATGAAAAAGCCACCCACAAAGCCAGCTGTCTGAGTGAAGAAATCAGCTAAATTGCAGCATTTTGGAATTACTAATAAAGCTATAGTTAAAAATAAAAAGTTTATAAAAAGGAAAGCAGCATGCATATTCAAGGCTTTTTCATAACATTTTCATTAGCGGACAAACATTTAGGTAAAAACAAGAGCTTAATATTTATTATTCATTAAATTAGATAAAATAAACTGGCCAAGCCCACTACATCTGGTCATTCAGAAACACAGTTTAAAATCTAAAGCTAATTAAACTGAACATTTCTTCTATGAAGAAAACACATTTTGAAAAAGGGTCCCTCTCAGCATGAACAGCACCAGTCTTTACAAAGTTTATAAGTTAGTATGAACTTTCAGTCTCCTGATATGGCAAGAGTTACCAGTTAACACTCCCATGATTCCACAAGTGAAAAGCTAACTTTTAACTCATTATGATCAGCTCAGAATTTTTTTCTGCAGTCACTGAAATTTTTACACCAGGTAAAATTTCACTGAAAGATAATTCTTGAAAATTCTTACCTGCACGAACATTTCTGCTTTCCATGATTCTAAGAAAACAGTAAGTATATATTTACTACATGATTCTTTTTCACATTTTTGGTACAGTCTTTACTTCAGAGTTTTACCCTTTTCAAATTCTTATGCCAGTTTCTTTTCTCCTTCAGTATTATCTTCAATTTAATAAAAAGCAAATTCAAATTTTAATGAAAAAAATAACAAAAGTATTACAAGTAATAATAGTGGCATCCATGAATGTGTTCAAAGAAAGATCCAATCATTAAGGGCCAATGGGATCACAAAATCTTACTGTTACAACATGTGTCAATAGGCTGTTTTTTCACTTACATATTAAAATTATTGTTGAATAAAACTCAGACCACGTTAGCAATGGTTTAAAAAAAGGGAGCAATTTAATCATTATAATACAGAGTGCTTTAAGAAGTTTTTAAACATGTAAAAGAAAGAACAGTTTAGTGCATCAAATACAGTCTTTACATTGCTTCTTTTTAAAAAAGTTAACAGTAGTATGAAAAAGCCACCCACAAAGCCAGCTGTCTGAGTGAAGAAATCAGCTAAATTGCAGCATTTTGGAATTACTAATAAAGCTATAGTTAAAAATAAAAAGTTTATAAAAAGGAAAGCAGCATGCATATTCAAGGCTTTTTCATAACATTTTCATTAGCGGACAAACATTTAGGTAAAAACAAGAGCTTAATATTTATTATTCATTAAATTAGATAAAATAAACTGGCCAAGCCCACTACATCTGGTCATTCAGAAACACAGTTTAAAATCTAAAGCTAATTAAACTGAACATTTCTTCTATGAAGAAAACACATTTTGAAAAAGGGTCCCTCTCAGCATGAACAGCACCAGTCTTTACAAAGTTTATAAGTTAGTATGAACTTTCAGTCTCCTGATATGGCAAGAGTTACCAGTTAACACTCCCATGATTCCACAAGTGAAAAGCTAACTTTTAACTCATTATGATCAGCTCAGAATTTTTTTCTGCAGTCACTGAAATTTTTACACCAGGTAAAATTTCACTGAAAGATAATTCTTGAAAATTCTTACCTGCACGAACATTTCTGCTTTCCATGATTCTAAGAAAACAGTAAGTATATATTTACTACATGATTCTTTTTCACATTTTTGGTACAGTCTTTACTTCAGAGTTTTACCCTTTTCAAATTCTTATGCCAGTTTCTTTTCTCCTTCAGTATTATCTTCAATTTAATAAAAAGCAAATTCAAATTTTAATGAAAAAAATAACAAAAGTATTACAAGTAATAATAGTGGCATCCATGAATGTGTTCAAAGAAAGATCCAATCATTAAGGGCCAATGGGATCACAAAATCTTACTGTTACAACATGTGTCAATAGGCTGTTTTTTCACTTACATTGAAATTGTGTAAGCCCAAACACAATTTTTAATTTAGTGCAGGGCCTGATAAAAAAGACATAGCAATAAATTCTTGTTTTTTTTTTTTTCCTGTTTCTAATGATCTTTACTCTGTAAAATGTTTGGTCGCTCAAAGCTGTAAGCTTAATCACATCAAAGAATACAGGCAGTAAGGCCCATCTGGAGACATACAGTATGAAGCTCGAGAAAATATGAGGATAAGCTCTAGTGGTCATTAAACACCCTCAGAAAGTCTAAGAATCAGAATGCCTCCATATCAGAATAAAAATGTACTGGATTAAAACTTGAATTTTTACAAGTTTTTTTTTTAATTAGTGCTCTATTTACATTGCAGAACTTCCACCAACTGCTGTAATTAACTTTGGCACAATGTTAAGTTCCATTTCTTTTGGGTATTTTTTAAGAATGTGTATGCCCCAAAATGTTTTCAGTGTCATCAAAAATTGGGCCCATTCACAGTAATCAGACATCTTGAGCTGAAGAATTGATTCTCCTCCAATGTTTTAGGCAACTATAAAAGAAAAACATAATAAAAAACTGAAATTTAAAGGAAAACCGTATTTTAATGTTAACCACTTTTAGAAACAAAAATGAGATAAAATAGCTATGAAAATACACCCTCTGAATTCATGAATTAATCTCAGTATTAATTATAACTATAATTATAATATGAATTATGGATTATAATCTCAGAATTAATATTGAGATTACTTGCCACATACATAATACACTAGATTTTGTGTGCAACTCCTATGTATATGTTCTGCATACACTAAATTTGCTTATAAACATTTTTCTCCTATATGTAATAATTTATTTAAAAATTATTAGTGGAAAGTATGTATTTCATGGTCAGTATTTGTAATAAACAGACTGAAATCTAAAGACTCTTGTATTTTTTTCTACTTATATACAAGCATGGCCTGTGCAAAGATATATATGTATCTCACTTTTTGCAATACTATTTTGGAAAGGTTTGGTTAACTTTTTCTATATACTCAATCACATTTACCTGAAAAAGAAACTAGAGGAAATTTATGGTGAATTCTTTTATAAGATGAAAAATTATTTTAAGCCAATGATAACTTGCTAATGTGTTTTAACTTTTAGTCTTCAGAATATTTTTAAAACGCAAGGTATGCCTACAAATGTCCCACAAAAGTGCACGTATAACATATACGAAACAATTTTTTTTTAACTATGGCTTTGTGTGAATTTTCTGGCTACAGTAACTGTTATGGCATCAATATATGATATAAGAGTTATCCACACAAATTTCAAGTAAGGGGCAAACTAAAGTGTACATACAGAAAAGTTCTCATTATTTTTAGAAGATTGCAACTCTCTACAAAATCAGTGTAGAGGTTACTACGACAACAAAAACAACAATCCATTGCAGCAACAAATTTGTTGATTTAATCTTGGCTGAGTGCACATTCTTGTGTTTAGCAATAAAAAGAAAAATGCTTGTTAAAAATATTTTATGTATCTGGGTCAGAAGAAAGCCTGTCCTGAAGATTTCTGACATTAGGAAATGGAGAGCTGTATGCTTCAAGATAATGCTGTACAAAACAGTTAAGCTTTTTGTGACTTATGATGATATATTATGCTCTAGAACCTAGAATGAAATTTATCTAAAATAGGTGCATTTTTAGTTTCACCTGTTTTCTGCCTGAAAAAAGGTCAATGAGAAGAAAACTTGGAAAGGATTGCTACGCAATTAAGAAAAGTTCCTGGTACATATTAAGCACTCTACAAATAATGTTAAAACAACATAAATAAAACCAGGGAGGAAGATATGGGGGAATTAAGGAAATACCATGCAGAATAAGAGAGCATAAAAGTAGAGGTGGAGTAGGGATGCAAAAACCTAAGGAAATAAGTAAATATGCTCATATGATAATGAGAGTCTATGCCTCATTTCCTCCTTTACTCTTTCAGAACACTGCGGCAATCTCTGATTACAAGATGCTTTTGAACTACTGATATATACAAACATTTCATGACAACTGCATTGTTTTCAAAAAAGTTTTATCTGGGAACACTTCAAAACAGAGAATAGAAAGAAGAGAAATACGCTATTGAATTCCAAAAGCATTAAGAGTTGAAGTCCTAAGTCCAAATCAGGTATATGATTTGCAACTGGAGTAAAATTTTAATTGATCTCATCTAAAAAAGAATTAAGATTTAGGGAACATGCCAAACCTTTCAAATTTAAAGCATATTTACTTGCACTTTTATGACTACAGAGATGTATCTTTAGCCATATAGTGTTTCTCCTCCTAGCAGGTTTGCTTTATACCAAAGAATGAAGACATTTTTGGCAACTGAGTAAATACCAAATCTGTTATTTACCTTTTGATCTCTGAGACAAATAATCTACATCACAGTTTTCAAAAACAAATGCCACCTAAGCAAATGTGAATTTATATATAGCCTAAACAGAGCTTTGCATTTTAATAAAAAATATAATTTTAAAACATAAACATTTTAAACTCTAGTTAAAAATCTAATAGTTTTAGGGGTAATACAACGAATGAAAAAAGATACCCATTTTCACCTAGTTTCCTAAAACTGAGCAAATCCTCACCCCTGTGGTAAGTCTTTCCTTCGGTATACTTTTCCCCTTCTTTTAAGTTTTCGTTTTTGAATTCTTTCCTTAAATAGGCAAAAAATGAAGCTTTAGTGAAGGAGGGTTGCAAGAAATACATTTTAGTTATCTTTAGTATTTGTGAAACCCCCACCCACCAGTCTCCTTTCTTACAGAATGGGTAACTCTCCCTTAAAACAAAGCAAAAACATTTCACATAAAAAATAAATAAAGCAACATTAAACTCTACATAATTAACATGATAATCATAATCATCAGATTACACATGATAATCATATATCTCTTGGCTATTCTCATGAAACCTAGTCCTCTTGTTAGGTAAAAAAAAAACTGTTTTAGAAAGAACTACCAAAAGTGAAGGTGTCAGATACAAGGTGACTGTTCTAAATATATGTGCTCTATGACCAGACACTTAGATTAAAAACTTACATTTTAGTCATCTGATTTAGAAAGCTTCCGCTTCACATGTCGTGGGGGTTCCCAGGTGTCACTATCATCTGTTTCTTCTTCATCCTCTTCCTGATCATCAATAACTTCATCTTCCTCCTCATTTTCCTCAAATAATTCTATACCTAATTCTGATCTTCTCTGTCTTTCTGCAAACCACTCTCTCACCTGCTCATAGCCCATATGTGATTTGTTAACAAGTTCATCAAGGTCTTGCTCATTAAGAAATTTGTGCTTCAGGTAATAATCCTTCAGTATTGCAGTACCAGTTTTAAATTTAATGAGTGACGGCCCCCTGTCCCAGTTGTTCATTCTCTTGCTTCCTCTAGGACGTCCACGCGGTCTTCCTCTTCCCCTTCCTTTGGGTCTCCCTCTCCCTCTTCTCCTAAGGGAAGACAGACCATTCATACTACTCGAATTGGAGCTCTGGTAGTAGTAGTACCATTTTAAGTTTCCATTTTTCCAAGCATAGCGAGTGTCCCCGAACCAACTAACTATGTCTGCTCTGGCAAGCCCACTTTCTTCGGCCAACTTGTCATACTCCACTGGCGATGGCCACTGTGTTCGGACAAATGCGCTTTTAAGCAAGTGCAACTGCTCAGGTGTTTTTTTATATATCTTGCCTGTACTCCCGGACTTAGGGACAACAGATTCATCCCCAGGAGAGGTTTCTCCAGCTTCTTCTTTGGAACTACCTGCATTACTTTCATCTATTTCCACTTTCTCTTCCTTTAAAGCTTTTGATTTCTTCTTTTCTGTAAACCAAGCATCGATTTCTCTTCTGGTAAGTTTGGTTTGCGCTCTTAACCTATTTAACTCTTCATCTGTAAGTACTGAGCTGTTGAGAAAACTTGCCTGAAGGGCGTGAAGCTGCTCTGCAGTCTTTTCTTTAAACTTTTGGGGAGTAAAATCAGGAAAAGGATTCCAGGATTGTTTATGCTGTGAAGTAACAACAGTCGGGGATTCTGTTGTTTCATCACTGGAGTCTATAATAATAGTGGTGGAGGAATCATTGTTGAGATGTAAGCACTGATTGCTCTTTGAATTTCTCTGGTTGTACCTTGTATCACTAAACCATTTTTTAATCTCTCCTTTTGTCAGGCCTGTGATTTTCATAAGTCTGATAATTTCTGAATCATGGGGAAACTGATTTTTAAGGTAGCTAACTTTTAATTCTGCCAGCTGCTCTTTAGTCTTTTTTGCCCGAATGCCAAATGAATCAGGGTTTGCCAGTGTGGTTTCATGTTTGATGAGCTGAGAAGTTGGAACCGCTGCTGTCGCTGGCTTTGTTTCTGCAACAGGCTGAGCTGCAGGTACCTGACTTTTCTGTACGTTTGTTTGATTTGGAACCCCTGCCACTGTCAAGGCTATAGGTGCTGTTACTGGCAAAGTGTTTGTTCCAGCTACTTGTGTAAGGACCAGACCTGGCTGACCAACTATTTGGCATGTTTGTAAAATGGATGGCAAACCATTACTTCCTGTGGAAATGTGTGTAGGAATAACAGTTATGGTCTGAGGTACAGTGTGTACTGTTCCATTGAATTGCTTTCTTCTTGCCTCCTCTACTTCCTCGGGAGTCCAGCTAACACCATGTTTTAGACGTTGGGCTGAAAACCATATCTTTATCTGTTCCTCTGTATATTTTGCTTGGGCAGAAAGAACAGTAATTTCTGACATAGTTGGATAAGGGAATTTGTTATAAGTGTTAAGCAAAAGGGGGTTGTTATCCAATGCAGCATTGTACGTAGGAATGCTATTAACAGGGATTAAGACTTTGGGAATCAAACTGGAATTCTGCTGAGCTGATACAGCAGTTATCACCTGTGCTAACCCAGGAAGAACTGCTGTGGGGGTCACTACCGTACTGGCAGTATTTGCATGTATTCTGTTTACAATGGAAGTACTTGCATGAGATTCAGAAGCTGAAGAACTTGGATTTTCCACAGTTTCTTCACGGTCCAGTTTGATTTCATTCTCTTTCTCTTCAGGCACATCATCAACTGAGTTATGATGAACTGTAATCCGTTTGTTCTCCACTTTATTTTTCATCATTTTCATGATAGGAGTTTTACTGATAGATATTCCTGAAGAAGACACTTCTGCAGATTCAGCTTGCTCTGAGTTCTCCTCTTTAACAAAACTACCATCAAAAGTCAGATCATTTATTGTTTGTTCAAAGATTGTCTGGTTATTTCGTTTCACCATAGTCAATTTAAAGTTCTCTTCTCCTGGGTGATATTTCAGATTATGCTCGGAAAGTGCATCATACCTTTTGGTAAGAAAATTGCATTCAACACATACATAGGATGAATTTAGCACTACATTAGGATGTTCTGAGTCCACATGAAAAGTAAACATATTTAGATCTGGAGTCTGAAAAGTACAATATTTACATTCATAGCCACCTTCAACTTTTTTATTCTGCTGATTGTCAGAATCTACAGATTCATTAATGTCTTCATCACTTGAGATACTCTCTGCTCTGGTGTTTTCTACAGGTGTAAGTACGGGAGGACCTTCATCCAAATCTGATATCAACTCAAGGTCTGGGTCCTGTTCACTGGCAAGGACCATGCAAGGTATTGTTGATTTTCGCCTGCTTGCCATTCTGATGTTATGGGGAAAATCTCAGTGGTGACTAAAAAGCATTGAGGCTTATAACTGTTCAGTATTCTTCATTTGAAAATAATGGCTTTTGGTTCTTCAAGTCCGTTTTTGTGCTCAACGAGTCTCATTAGCAGCTTTTTCATGGTGCAGTCAAGTAAAGAGCTTATTGTTGGCAGATAAAATGTTGAACTGTTGAAAATTTTGAAGCACAGCTCCACTCACCTACATTAAAATAAATTTAAAAATGTTTTTAAGTGATTGATTATAATCTTTTAAACAAATTGCAGTTATATTTCACTTCCATAGAATTGTCAGATAGATCGGTTATAAAGATCTACAGTAAGACCAGAACCAGGAAAAAAGACCTCTAAGGATCAAAATAGATGTCTCCAAACCACCTCACAGAAGACCATGTACAGTATTCATGGGTCAGCCCCCAAGCTTGTTTACTTGTATTTTTCAGCCAGTTATAGATGGATAAGAAGGCAGGGAAAGAGTCTGCTTTGGCAAGCACACTACTATCAATGTGAAATGATGATCTGGTTAACAAGGGAGGAACTTTAAAACCATAAAAGGCGATCACAGATACTCAAAGACTATGGCGACCAAGTATATAAGAAATTCAATCCGTCAGTTGTGTTCTCTTCTTTCTACTGATCTCTTTCATCATCCCAAAAGCATTCAAGTATGACAAATGCTGCAAATGGAGTGTGAATGATCAATTTCAGAAATGTTATTCTTATTCTCCATAATGCTACCAAACTATATAAAATATATCTAGTCATATCAGTCTCCTGACTCAAAGTTAATGATGGATCCGCAGTGCTTAAAGAATAAAGCCCGAACTCCATAAGCCACATGTAGTTCCCTTCACAACTTGACCCCAGCCTCAATGTCCTGCCACCACTCTTCCATATCCTATGTGTCTCTATGCTTTGGCACAACAGAAACAACTACTGCTCCAGGGACACTCACTGCAGGCTGTTCCTAATGCCAGGACACTTGTGACCTTGAGGTGCTGAGATCTCTGTCTGCCTACAAATCACCTCTCTCTTAACTTGGCCAGATGTCGTCCCTGGTTTATTTTCTAGTCTAGAACTTACTGTATCGTAGCAGAGGAATGTTTCATTTCTGTTTCCAAACCTAACCATATCCCTGGTCTCATTTATATCAGTGTGTATCTCACTTCTTCTTCTCTTTTCAAAAATAGTGTTACTGTGATATACCAAATCTCCTGAGACTCTGAATTGAACCAAGGACTTTGTATCTTCAGTCTAATGTTCTCCCAGCTGACCTATCTTGGCTGACTTCTCATTCATTTCTGTACCCTTTGCATACAATAAACCTAGAAATACAGACTCACTGAATATTTATTAACCTGAACTAGAATGAGAAGGAAAATAGTCCCATAAAATTTAACATGCCTTGAGAATATCACCATAGAGAACAGTAGCTGAAATTCACAAGAATGACCTTGAAACATCAAGAAAAAGTGAATTATGTTCACATAAATGCATTTAAATGATTCTGGTACCCAAAATATCAAAATTAAATGTTGATGCTTAATCAGTTAAAGTTGGTATGCTTCTCTGATGGACAGTGACTGCATTGGGGTATGGGTGGGGACTTGATAATATGGGTAAATGTAGTAACTACATTGTTTTTTCATGTGAAACTTTCATAAGAGTGTATATCAATCATACCTTAATAAAAAATTTTTTTAAAAAGTTGGTGTGCTTCTGAAATCTAAACTAAGTGAAAATGAATAACAAACTGAGTAAACAGTCTCACTCTCTACTACAAATTATAAATATTTTCATTTACTAGCATAATCCTTATTCTAGCTGAATTGAGGAGAAAAAGTTTACTTCAAAGATTATAAAGCAAATTCAGGTCTAGGTCTCTATAAGGAGATAATGACTCATTAAACAGAGAAACATTTTTAGGGAACAGAGTTGTCCAGAGAGACTACCCTACCTTTGAAGGAAAAATCCTCCTTACTAGGATTATTCAAATATATACTACATATCCATTTGATGGATCCAAACATCAGATGGCAAGTTGGAGTACATGTCCCTTATTCACTGATTTCCCATATTGTAGAATAAAGCGCATCAGCTTAGTAATAATAGTAGTATCATAGTCCAAATCTGTACTCTCAAAGGTGTCATTTTTTTCTATAAAACACCTTTGATTTCTAAGGGAATATAAAGAAATCACTGAAATTTAAAAATGCTTCTTAACTAAATGTTATAAGCTAACTTAATGCTGTCTCTCTTATTTGATTAAATAAGGGATACCATTTTTTGTCCCAAGTGTTAGTAGAGCTATTTGATCATTTTTTGTCATTAGAAACAGGGAATTTATGAAATCGCCTTAAATAAGTGGAACAACCCCTACATTTTTGACAGTAAAGGAGAATTATTAAAAGGCAGAGGAGTAAGCTACTTTGTGCCTGTTATTTTCTTAGAAGCTCAGATTATATGTAATTGGGGTATACCAATAGCTAGAAGTCAGAGATAGAGGGTTTTTTCTAAAACCACCTTTCCTTCAAGTGGTGGTTTTCAAACTTTATGTTATAAGCAGGGAGCCTTTTCTTCAAACCAATGTCTATGAGAAGCCCTGGTACAAAACAGGTAAAAACATAGCTGTCTGGATGAAGAAATATAGAGGCCAAACTACTTCTTGACCCCATCTCACGTGTTCCACAATCCCTACTTCTATCTCTGATGGATTCTTAGATGGGTTTGAAAGCCTTTGCCTTAATAATTTAAATACTTTCAAGACAATGTATCAGTTTCATCAAAGATCCTCAGCTAGCCACTGGTGAGCTATGAAATTTGAAGACTAATATGAAGTGAACTTAATATGTTCTTTCATGTTGTTTCACCAGAGAAGGCAGGCCTGGGGCACCCAGGGGTAGAAGAGAGTAGCCAGTATAAGAAGAGATACAGAAGAGAAACTTGACTAAGATCCCTTTATTATTCTGGCTCTCTAGCTGTTGGGTTAAACTTCCTATCTTCTATCTAGCATAAAAAGAGGAATATGCTACCAAATTATTACTTTTATTTCTCTTCCTCACAGCACACTAGCTCAGAATGGTTAGTTAATAAGTATTTAAGCAGATACTAACAAATTTTAAATGCTTAAATATTTTTTGCTGAAGTCATGAAAATTACCAAATATTCATACATTACATTACAATCTAATGATGTGTATGCACAGTTGTGCTTTTTCCTTTGAAAGCACTGGTCTTCACAATATAATTAAATTTAAATAAGCTACTTAAAAGAGGCTTTTTAAAAAAAGTCTTCAGTTCTGCAAAAGACTCAAAACTCGATTACCTTGTGCTATAGATCGCTTCATCCTTGGGTTACTGCTATACCCAGCTACATAGACCTAAGAAATACTCTTTCTTCTTTACTCCTAAAACTGTTCACTTACATTTTGCTAACAAAACCAGAGTCAGTATTCCTGAGCATATTTCTAAAGGGAGAATGAAATGTCCAAAAGAGCCTCAAGATTTGGTCTGATGGTTCAGTTCTACTGCAGTGTATATAGGATAAAAATAGATGAGAGTGCAAGCAAAGGCATCCTTAGGGATCTTATTATAAAGTCACAGTTTGGGTGAAAGCCAAGGACCTCAGTACAATTGCCCCATTTGTATGGAAGAAAAAACCCAGGCACTGAGGTATAGGGTAAAACCATAGGTTTTGGAGTCTCCGCTGTCACTTAGCAGTTAGGTGACTAAAAAGATTACTCAATATCAACCTCAGTTTTTTCACCTATAAAACCAAGATTCTTCAGTTCAACAAATTCACTCAACAACAATTTGTTGAATGTCAACCCTCTGCCAGGCACTGTTAGGCACTAGAAATACAGTGGTAACCAAAACAGATTGTCTTTGGTTTGCCAGGCATTAGCAATGGAGCAAGGAAAATAGGCAGAAACAATTACTTAGAATAATTATGATCAATGCAATGAGAAAGGAAGTGTCAGGAAACTATATCAGCATATTGCAGGAGGCTTCTAGATAAGAAGCAAAGAAGACTGCCCTAGAGAAAATAATAGCAGTATTTGCCTCAGAGAGGCTGATCAAATAAAAATGCTTCAGATATTCTGATACACAGTAGGTACCTAATTAATGCTATTCTCCAGTCCCTGAAAAATTCTTTTGTGGGATGAAAAAAATATCACTAATTAAGCATTATTCTCTTTCTCTTTTCTCACTCAAGCAACTTAATCAGCTGACAGTGCTGATTATGAATGAATGAAATGAATGAAAAAGCAGTAAAAATACAGAATAAGAATTTCTTTGGTATGCTTCCAATTCATCTTCTTTTGTCATTAAAAGAGCAAAAGGGCTGGAACAGGAAAACTGACATACAGAAATCCCTATTAGTTGACAGGCATCTCATCCTCTATTTGAAGTTCAACTAAAAACAGAGCTCAAAATCAATTTGGGAAACCTTGCACTATTTACCTGTAAAAGGGGGTTAGAGTTCACTTGTACAACTGAGTAGCCAGGTGGTTTTGCATTAAAATTCAAAGTGACATCTGCCAATAACAGAAAAAATTATGCTCTAAATGGACCCAAGCACTGTAAGTATACTTATGTCTGAAAACTATCTTCAGTTAACCTTTCAGTAGGAATGTTAAAAAAATAACTGATCAAATCAATTTGCTATACTGCTATTAAAATGATCATAAAAGAGTAAGGAACTGGAAAAATATTTATCCATTTACTGCGAAATTTTTAAAAATAAGAACAAAATTTGCATAGTAATTATAAAATAAGAAAATATGGAAGGGTGGAGCCAGGACGGCGGTGTGAGTAGAGCTGCGGAAATCTCCTCCCAAAACCACATTTATCTATGAAAATATAACAAAGACAACTCTTCCTAAAATAGAGACCAGAGGACACAGGACAACATACATACCACATCAACACCTGTGAGAATCCAGCACCTCGCAAAGGGGGTAAGATACAAGCCCCGGGCCGGGCGGGTCCCGAGCGCACCTCACCCCAGCTCCCAGTGGGAGGAGAGAAGTCTGAGTGAGAGGGAGAAGGAGCCCAGGACTGCTGAATACCCAGCCCCAGCCATCCGGACCAGAGCGCAGACACAGTGCATGCGCGGGGCCCTGGATACTAGGGAAACAGGGCAGCAAGAACGGTGAGCGGGTACCGGAGGCCAGTGCCGGAAGACAAAAGAAAAGCGAGT